ATGATAACAAACATTATTGACAGTCAATGTAAATATTGTTATTGTACATATAACAACATAACATCATTCAATAGTAGTTATTTTTCAGCACTGCTATTTCTGTCACCACTACCAGTCGGACTCCAAGATGGAAAAGGAATCCTACCACCTTGGTACCATTATCTTACCTGTTTCTGCCGCCAAATGGAAGAGCGTACACCGTACACTGCTGTGATCTGGTCTGAAGGGTATAAAGAGCCAGTATGATTACATACTGTGAGACATTGGGTGCGTTTGGCAGAAAAAAGCGCTAGCAAGCGCTTACAAGCGCTGAAATAGTTTTCGGCCAGGACACGATTGCTACTTCAGTAGCGCTGACACAATCCGCCATTTTGCTTATTTAATTTGTTTGTTTTGAAGTAGAGTTTATAAGTTTTTTTGTGCAATATTAGTTTTAAGTAATATAATGACATGAATAGACATATAAATGTTATTAAAAATTCATGATTGGTAAGTTTTTAATACGAATACTTTACAAACATATATTTAAATTAGGTTAGGTTCCCCGGTTAAAACTAACTTCGTGTCCTAGAGGAAAATAGCTACTTACGATTTGACAGCGCTTACCGCTTACGATCGCCATTTTGCTTACAAGCGCTTGCTAGCGCTTTTTTCTGCCAAACGCACCCAATGTCTTAGTTCTCAAAGGTGACAATGCACCTGTAACCTTCTTTGCTTAAAGCTGGCTGCATGTGTCCATGGGCAGCAGTAGCAACTTACCATTGGTGAACTTTTTTCGTTTATCTCTTCAGTGTTATTATTTCAGTATTATATTTAAAAAAATGTATCTCTATACCCAAAAATTGTTCGCTAAATAAATATAATTGTAAACTTCAACTTCCGCCTACAATTTCACGAATTCGGGAGTTTGGGAAATGAGGACATATTTTGTCCAGTATTTAGGTAATGTGGACCCATTTAGTCCAGTATTCCTCATAATCTTAAAAGTGTATGTGCAGTTAGTGTATGTTTCCAGAGATGACTTATTGAATTGAGCAGTTCATTGAGTTTAAGGCCTAAGCAGCTGCAAGGAAGGTACGATACCTTGCTAAGTTTTGGCGATTCTTCACACCGAGACAGCTGCTTATTTTATATAAAGCGCAAGTGCGGTCGTGCATGGAGTATTACTGCTATGGGCTGATGCTGTAAAATATCACTTAACAGCTTTAGACTCAATGCAAAGGCATGTTAAGAGACTTATTGGTGACTCTAATTTGGTTTAAACCAACTTATTAGCTGTAACACAGGCGCAAAGTAGCCAGCCTTTCCGTTTTCTTTAGGATGCATTTCGGAGAATGTGCGCAGTAATTGCATAATTTAATTCCCCCCTCTCCCCATCACCACCAAACCATCAGACGTTCGGCCAGTCTCCACCCTTTTGTTGTTGATTTACTACGCATTCGGTTACCACCAAATGGTTTGCTACATCGTTCATCATGCGTACAGTAAAATAAGTTGCCAGTGTTTATGTACACACAATGAAAGCAGATGGATGTATCAGGGCCGTGCTTTTTGGCAGTCTTTGAGGGACACCTGTCTTCGTCTGTGCACTTATGGCCCAGAATGATCACGATTGAAATTATCAGTTGTCATCTTTCATTTTAACTATAATAATAAGAGAAGAGTGTGGTTTGCAAGATGATGTTGTGACCAGGATTAAGAAAGGAATGCTTCGGTGGTTTGGTCATGTGGAAAGAACGAATGAGGAAATAGTGACAAAGAAAATTTATGTTGCAGAAGTGAATGGCAGAGTCGGAAAGGGACGTCCTAGGCGAAAATTTATCGACCAAATTGGCGATTTATTGAAAACGGGCCAAATTAGGAGTGCCCTTAACCGACGAGCATGTATGCGTAGGTGTATGGATGTGAAGGAGGCGAGAGAGGTGTGTCAGGATCGTGCCAAATGGAAGTCTGTAGTCTCTGCCTACCCCTCTGGGTGACAGGTGTGAGTGTTTATGTATGTATTATGTATGTATGTAAAACTACTTTTGCGGATTTTAAATTTTAATTATTGTCTTTGGTCAAAAAGCTGAAGGGGTACCTTCAGACCAAAGACAATTTAAAATTGGGTTAACTTTGACGTCTCACCTCAGTCCCCCGTGACCATGGGTGCTGGAAAGCACCCGAAACGACGGGTATTAAAAATAAAATAAATAAAACGCGATAAAATCCGTAAAAGTAGTTTTAAGCAATGTATAGTGTTCGCGTAAATATAATAAATCATTACATTTTTTAATATAATGCCGCATTAGAGACCAATAGTTATGAGGATGTACAGAGACAAATTAAACCTCTTTATACTTCGGATTCTCGTTGAACTATTGACAATATAAACGACATTCCTTTTATTGGTCATTGCATTCCCGGCGACAATTTCAAGAATTTTAAGACGTCATATACATTTGCCTCCTTAATGTCTGTAACCGCATTTACTTCAACTGTTTTATGCTATTACATAGTATAGCCAATATATATGATTCATTTGTATTACAAATGAATCACCAAACCATTCAGCATCGCGTCGTTCAACTACAAGACTACAACTCAGTGTAACGAGTTGGCGCGGAGACGTCTACATACATACAAGTTGCTAAATAAATAATCTATTTAAACATGTGATATAATGATGCGTGATCGCTGTCCAGTGCGGTATACAATAGTGGAGTCATGTTTACGATTGTAATTTTTAACATCAGTCAGTGTATTCTTAGTGATACGGCATGTATAACGTGTTAGTAAATGTCAAAAGATAATACAAGTTGTGTTTTGTGCTTCATAAATTGACATGTTCTGTGTGAAGCTTCTGCACGATAAAGCTCAGTATGCGATGGCGACGTTTGACGTAAGTCACGTGACCGTTCGGCGGATGTTACTTTTGACATTTACGTGCTTGTAATATTCGTTAGTGTTGATACTTGCTGCGTTTGGCAGACAAAAGCGCTAGCAAGTGCTTGTAAGCAAAATGGCGATCGTAAGCGGTAAGCGCTGTTAAATCGTAAGTAGCTATTTTCCTCTAGGACACGAAGTTAGCTTGAACCGGGGAACCTAACCTAATTTAAATATATGTTTGTAAAGTATTCATATTAAAAACTTACCAATCATGAATTTTTATAACGTGTATAAATAATATGTTTATTCATGTCATTATATTATTTGAAACTAATTGCACAAATCAATTTATAAACTCTACTTCAAAACAAACAAAATAAATAAGCAAAATGGCGGATTGTGTTAGCGCTACTAGTTAGCAAACGTGTCCTGGTCGAAAACTGCTGTATAGTTACGCCATTTTGCTTACAAGCGCTTGCTAGCGCTTTTTTCTGCCAAACGCAGCCACTGTCTCGATGGTACGATTTCCTGTCAAGAGCGCCGTGCGAGTAATTGATTAGATGACGTTATCAAGCAGTAATTCACAAAGTATTTTTTATGAACGTGAGGATGGAATTCGATCTTTCCATGTTTCCAAGAAGATTGTAAATGTGCGAGCGAAATCGTTTCATCTGGGTACTGTCTGAAAACGAAGCGTGGTATTTATATCTGCTCAAATGATAACGCAGCAGCGATGAATAGTGTTTCATTTACATAAACACATAGTTGAATACTTGTGTGCGTTTCGTACATATTTTAAAAGAGCTGGCAGTAACTGGGTCTCGACCCAATTTTCAAATATCCCTTTTATACAACAACATAAGCTTCTACATTATTATAAATGCTATGCCTCTCACGTTGCGCGCGTTTTACAATTCTTTGTCTCTATTACGTAATCATAAACGACTTAATGGTATAAGGAAGTAACTTTGGTTTCTAAGAAGCATATCTAGCATTCTTACGTGAATCGCATGCAAAATGAAAAACTGTAGAAACGGCCGTCATCTATCAATATGCACGTTTGAGAAAATGGCGTGTTCTGTTTAAATCTAGAGTGTATTAACGCGAAATGTTTTCTTTTTTAATAATCAGAAATTGAACTGCCGTGCCGCGTCGGTCACGGTTATAGCCTTTTACTATTTCTGTCAAATTACAGTTTTGCAGTATTTTTTTTTATTTTAATAACAAATTAGTTTGATTTGTGTCTTTATTATAATTTAAAAAAACGCTAATGACGGAACATATAATAATAATTGTGTGGGAACTGATACCCATCATGGAATGCGCCTCTATAATACTCGTAGTTTCCCACTAAACAAATGAGGAAAAGTGTGTCACTGCATTCTAAGCATAAACAAAGAAAAAGAGAAATTTTAACTAAATTTTGCTTAATTTAATCTATGTATTAAAATTAACTAGGTTTTGTTTGTCAAATAAGACTGGAAAAATCATAAATATTTGAGTTAATCAATCAACGTTTATTCTTATATTTACATTACACTTTAAATTATAGTGAATTGTCATTTTATTTTACGATGCTCGTTAGTAGCTTAAATGAAGCTAACAAAAAATATTTATAAACTTTTTAAATTGTTTTTTCTTTATACGGTCGGAAGTCCCTAAACAACAAGTGGTAAAATTAAAACTTGTAAAACCGACTTTAATATAATTAAAATGAGAACATGAATGTAGTCGAAGTCAATTAAATACGCATTATTAAGGTTAACTCAAAAACTATTAGTCAGATCTGGATCAAATTTATATGGGACCAGATGAGAAGAACCAGGTTTTAAATAAAAAAAGAATGATAAAAATCAGTTCACCTACAAAAAAGTTTTGAGGCAACACATAAAAAAATCGGTCGAATTGAGTACCTCCTCCTTTTTTGAAGTCGGTTGAAAAGAGGAAAAATTTAATTGTCAGAGAACGTACAATATTTTGATTATAGAGCATTCCAGTGTGCGGATCTTGGCCAATTAACATTTTTACATAAGTTTTTTTTTTCTAACCATGGTTCGACGAAGCTCCAATATATCGTAAGCTAGCGTTTTATTTCTCTTGCGGTGGTTTTAAAATAGTCGTTTTTATTTCAGTTGGAGGAGGACATGTTCTCATGTGGCGGTGAGGTGCGGGGCGGGAGGGTGCCTCCGCCGTCACTCGGCCCTCCCCCGGAGGCCCTCACTCCTGTGCAGCTGAGGCGGAGGCACGTGGTCGCTGCGATCATACACAGCGAAAACTCATACGTCGCTACGCTTCAAAGGCTTGTCAATGTTAGTAGTGGCTAATTTATTTCTTCAATACTTGGTAAACATCGTTGTATCACACGCGGCGGCGTTGTTTTTGCTTTTATATTCTGGTTTAAAAGGGCAAAAACGTCAGTGTAATTATGGTTGTTTCTTTTTACCCATCACACTTATCAACCAATCTGTAGCCAAATAACAAATGTATAGTTCTTTGTTTAAGTTTGGTTTCGATGTTTTAAAACTATTCTAGATCTGCAATAGCTACTTGCTATCAGGTGAAATGTAGGCCTTTTGTCCCTGAGGAAACTGTTGCAAAAGTTTGAGCTATTAATTATATAAACTTTTACTGCCTTGTCTTATTGAGTTTACTGGCAGATAACGCAATAAGGCATTTAGTACGATTTTTGTAAACCATTTCAATTCTGTAACTGATTTCCGGCACTCGAGACCTACGAGAGGTCCGGAATACCGGATCTGTTTCTGGAATTAGCAACTTTTTAACGGTTTTATTTTTTGTCAAGAGAAAGAAGTTTTATATTACGAAATCAAAGAATATTTATTATGTGTCGTCTGTCTTCATTATGTCTTTAACAAAATTATTCCACATTGACTTTTAATCACCTTTAATAATAATTTCAGTACTTTATTTTGAAAGCACAGTACCCTAATGGCAGGCGGACCGCGAACTCAAAAAGGTCGTGGGTTCGAATCTGCCATTCGACTATTGACGTGAACCACTCGTGACACAAGTAAGTAACTTACCATGTTTAAGGGGAATATTATAATGTTTATACATTGTATAATAGCATTGTTATATATATATTTATATAAAAATAAAAAAAAACTTAAGCTTAAAACTGTGTAATTACATAGGTTCAAAATTAAACATTTTTGTTATAACTCTCCCTCTCCCAACCGGATTTTTAAACAGTAAAATTAACAAGTTCTACACGATTGAAGTAAAACGAATTCATAAAATATGACTCAAAAACATATACACTTACGATATATATATAAATCCACACGTGGAAATTCCACGGGCATTAGATAAAGTGCATTCAGAAAGATCAAAATATCAATCAATGTGTTAAGTGTTTGAATATTGAATAACGATAGTACTCATCTAAGTTATGGAATTGAAATATCGAAAAAATTTGTTATAATATTCCGAAATTGTAGAATACACACCCAGTGCTAATAAAGTTGAAATAAATCAATTTCAAACTGATACATCATTTAACAATTAACTAAAAACCTTTTTACACAAATGTTGAATCTGGCTGGGTTCGAACCTACAGTAATCACGTTATCTAACTACTAAGCAACCGGTTGCTAGTGACGAAGATTTATATATTTTAATAAACAAACAGAGCATCAGCGTCGTAATGCTTTATTTCTTCCTTAAAACATACGTAATTTCTACTCCACTTTCGTAATTTCCATAACTTTGTCAGTAGATTATCTAACGTAACGATTCATATGTATTCTATAAGTTAACGGAATAGACAGTCGTTAGTTAATATTGCCAATCGTTAGGGCTTACTTGATTAAGAATTTATTCCATGATTCATTAAATTCGTTCTCACGTTCTAAACATGCATCTCATTATAAAGGTATTTGGTAATGAATGTAATAAAATATTAAAACCTAGTATATGTATGAATGTATTAAAACCTTAAACGTCTTGCGGATGTGAACTTAATATTGTTGTATAGCGATTAATATAGCTAGTTGTATCAATATACAGTCTAATGATGATATCAGGTATCTGTTATTACGGGATTTTTATGATTGCAAATAGCAGCTTCATGCTGCTGTGTTTCGTATGATGAGTGTAGAGAATTGGAGTCCCTTTACTGAAAACGAGGCATTCCATCTTAGTCTTCAGGGGTGATAACGCATCTGCATTTTGTGTTTCCATATTATATACTCCATTATATGTTATCACTGGCAACACACACTGGTTATACACTCTTGTTTTTAAGATTTGAGGTAATACGTGACGAGAACATGTATCGTAATTTACCAAACCCTGTTGAAACGCATTAATTGATCTCACAGTCGTAGATTGGACAATTTATCCTAGGTAAGCATATTGTCAACAACTTCGAGGATCGAGTTTAGTGCTCCCAACAACTAATACTGACGTGGTCGTTACACATGACCAGCAAAGTACATGTTATTAAAGACCTATTAAACACTGTTCCCAACGCGTTGCCGATGAACGAGAAGCGAGTGTGTAAATTGGATAGTTTTGTTGCTGGGCTATAAGATCGGCACTCAGATCCGCTCTGTAGAGCAATATCACCGCTGCTGGTTGGTCTCTCGGCGTGCCGCCAAGCGAGTTTTTGCTTTGGTAGCTCTTGTCGCTGCGACAAACTAGTGGAGAGAGAGTTCTTGCCGGTTGTATGAACAACCAGCCATTAAATTCGGAATCTGTATCTATTGTTCGTTTCTTGAGCGAAAAAATAATCGGTAGCTAATCCCTTCCTCATGGGTGGTATTACACAATTGAGGTTATTGAGCATAGTGCTGAAGTCCACACGATTCTGTCATAATCACTATATCACCGGCAAATCGTGACGTGGTACTTCTCTGCTGGCTGTATAAAGAAGCTTAAGGTCGCTCAACAAGCTATGGAGATGCTATGCTCTGAATTTCTCTGCGTAAAAGTCTTCGTAAAGAGGATCAGTAAACTGAAGTGGCAATGGGCCGGCCATATAACTCGAAGTACCGACAACCGGTAAGGGAAGTGTAGGGTGGGCCTCGACTAGATTGAGTGACGACCTAGTAAGAAATGGAGGAAGTTGCTGGATGCAGGTGGCTCAGGACCTTGCTTAGTAGCATTCCATGGGAGAGGCCTATGTTTTGTTTGAATAATGATGATGATGAATATTATTATTATTAGACACTCATATACAAATATATTTTATAATACACTTAAAACAGGTTTTCTGAAAAGACTTAGTTACGTTTAACAACTTCTCTGTCCGCGAAAATGACAATAGTCAAACAATCGAAATGTTCATATTTCACTCACGTGATAGTAAAATGATTAAAGCAGCAGATGTATTATACTTTTGCTTTTTATTCATTAATAAGTTAGGTTCTAGAGCAGTAGAAAAATATTTGGAAACGATAAGTCAATTTTTTCGGGTGTTTCGTGACCACATACAAAATCAACATCCGGACGTCTAAATATTTTTCAAACCGTTTTTTTTTTCAAAGTAGCAATATAAAATGATTTTTAGAAAATATAAGATAGATTAATTAGAGTATTTTCTTGATATACGGCTACTCGTATTATCGTTTAAGTGCAATATGGTTATGATAGAGGTATTTTAAGAACACAAAATTACTTGACCTAGACGTGACGAGAGTAAAGCATTACCTAATAACGCTTCGCGATATTATGCGTGCAATTAATAATATATTAAAAAACTATTCATATTAGTAATTAAATAAATACACGATAGCGAGAAAAATCGATACGTATTGTGCAGTTGTCAAAGCGGAATAAAATCAAATGAAATATCATTATATAGAATTCGGAATGATATCTTAACTTACTGTCACTTATATCACTTAGTATGTGCTTACATCTTTTTGACAAATTAATAGAACCGCACGCCGAGAACTGCTGAATTATTTACCTAGCTGCCTATTTAGTAATTTTACGGGCCATTTATTTACTACATTGCATGAGTATTTTTGTACTGGCGCTGTAGAATTAAATAATTGGCCAATTTGTTTTTAATTACTGCTACCACTACCGATCGCCAAAAATAATTCTAGTCCTTGTTTATTTTTTCAACTTACCGTAAATTGGATACGAGGTATTTCTTATTATCCTCAAGGGTAACAACGCATCTACATTTTGTTTCTTATTCGAGGATAGATGTAGATATGTATATACATATCTATTGGTCACAGTGCCGTTTAACATCACGTGAATTCGTGCACATTTGTCTCACATATTCATATACTTTTTATAAAATACTGTTCGCTGAGCACTTGTGCAGCTGTAGGTCTAATTTAAGGTCTGTCACCATCTCTAACTTTGGCTAACCCTAAAATGTTCAATCTAGGCAATGCTTCGGCGATGTAACTACATTTACTTACTCCTTGTATTCTAAACTTTAGACGAAACGATTTCATCGATAATGATTTGCCGCGAATTAGCCTTGGTTTTGATTTAAAACTTTGCCGTGGTAGGTGTAAATAGAATTGTTAAATTAAATGCTGATTTACCACCTACCCGGCGATAAGGAAAACATCGTAAGGAAACCTGTATTTTGAGGAATAAAATATTTTGAGGACATGTGAAGTTTGCCAACGAGCACTGGGTCACTGATCACACACTTTATTGCTTGGCTCAGCAATAAAGTCATAACTTTACTTAACGTTAATAATCATCTAAAAATATAAACATAAAAAGAAGTTATCATGTTTTTCTATTGAAAAGTAATTTATTACACTACCGTCGCGTTTATCTAAAGCAAACATTCTGTAATTACAAGGTCGTTACAAGTATTTGGTTTTCGCAATAGCGTTCAGCAGAAATAACCATGTTGTCAATGAAACCTTGGTACAAGTATTGCGAACGCGTCGCGACCGGCGACCGGTTAAGTATTTATCTCTCTCCTCCTCCTAAATGCAATAAAGCGTTAGCAACCGTTTTAAGTAATTCCACGCCATTTATATTTACACAAAGTTACACAATTTTTAGTGTTTAATATTAAAACCAGTAATTCAAAAGTATTCTATAACATAAACATAATTTAGAGCTTAGTGCGGAAAGATTTCTGCCGCTAGCCAGAAGTGCAACCATCCAATATGTTTCCGTTTGAAGGAAAAGAAAACTAGTATACCAAATTATAGACTCTGAGAAATTTCATTTAAGTTTTCCGTCCTCTGAGGTGACAAAGCAACTATAGCTATTGCTTGAAGTTGGTTGCCGGTGTCCATGGGCTACAATATCCACTTCCATCTCATGGACCTTAGCTCATTTGTCATACTAAAATCGC